TTCCGGACTTCTTTCTGCCAGATCTCACTAAGCTTTTGACATCTCTTTCCGTTTTTCTCCTTCTGACCCACTACCACTCCACAGGCTCTTAGCCTTCTTCCCTTGAGGGTTCCTCCAACCATTTCTCTTCATCCAACCCAGGGCCGGATTTAGGTTTGATGAGGCCCTAAGCTACTGAAGGTAATGGGGCCCCTTAAATGTCCAGCTGTCCTTTGTCAACAACAACTTGTCGCTGTTTTGTGTGTTGAATATATGCTATATGGTTATTTATGGACCTAATAGGTATCTAAAGCCATTTGCAATATGTATTTTATCAAAGTAATTGTTGAACTGAAATACAATTAAAAAGTATATTAATAGTGAAATACAATTAAAAAGAAGTATATTAATATTGAAATAATTATTAAGCTCCTACTGTATGTACGTTTTATTTTATTTGTTTTTTATCTTATATTTTGGAAATGTACATCCAGTTTTTTTCCTCCTTTAACTTTTTTTTGCGGTCCCCAAGAGATTGGGGCCCTAAGCTATAGCTTGTTTAGCTTATATGTAAATCCGGCACTGGTCCAACCAGTCCCTGACATTGAATGACTTGGAATAGTTCCCTTTATATAATGGAATCTCTCCTCAGCCTTTGGAAAGAGTCGGAAAGGGGGAGCATAAGTTCTGAGGAAGTTTGAATTTGGATAGCATCAGATGGAGACTTAAGAACAGGAGACTGAAGTGCGAAAGCATCCTAGAGAGTTGTGATGTTCCTACCCTGCTACTTTGGGGACCTAGGAGCCTGGGTGTTGATGTTGGATGGGATGTGAAAAGAGGGCTTTGTTGGCAAAGCTCACTTGATGAGCCCCTATCTCTCAGTCTAGCCAATCTCACATGCGGATAACATTGAAGTGAGTGGAAAAACTCGGCATGCTGTCAAGTGGAATAAAGGTTGGCTATACGCTCAATAAATAGACCTTTGCTTCTACTGTGCTCTGCTCTCACATTAAGAAATAAAGGAATATTATGCAGATAACTTAAATATCCTGTGCCTGGAACCTCACATCTCTTGTCAGGGGGGAAAGGACTGGTGCAAAGCAATATCAAATCAGTATCAAATTTAAAATCAGAAGCCCCACAGCAGGGGTGTGATTGTGTCATTATCCTGTCCCATCCCATGCTGTTTCAATCTGCAGCTGTCTTAAAGTACGTTACGCCCCATTCATAGAATCATGGAATTGGAAGGGACTTCTAGGGTCATCTAATCCAACCCCCTGAAATGCAGGAATCACAGCTAAAGAACCCCCTACAGATGGCCATCCATCTAAAAAGCTCTGATGATGAAGAGTTCACCACCTTCTGAGGCTATCTTGTCAAACAGCTCTTGCCACCAGAAAGCTTTTCCTGAAGTTTAATCGGAACCTCTGTTATTGTCATTTGAATCCACTGGTTCATTTCCTACCCTGCAGAGCTGTAGGAAAGATGCTTCAGATCTTTGAAGATGGCTATCACATCACCTCTTCTCCAGGCTAAGCGTAGCCGACTCCCTCAACCATGCCTCAAAAGGCTTGATTTCCAGACCCTTTATTATCTTGGTGCTTTCTGAAGGATAACTCTGGGCAGCGACAGTTGGGTCTGGTGAGACAGAAGGCAAGGAGAAGCCAATAATGAAGTCAGAAGCAATGAGAGGCAGAGGCAATGAATATTACTTTTCTCCTCATCCTCCACCCCACTGCTGAGTTCTACAACGGCAACACAGAGAGGAGGAAGGAGGAGGAAGCTGACAAGCCAATGCCAGCCCCTGGACTGACAATAAATAGGAAGGCAGGCAGGTGAGGTCCAGATGAGGTTTGTGGAGCAGTGCTCCAGTGGACCAGCCTCTGCTGATGCTGGGAAAATCCTCAGAAAACCCACACAAGACAGTCACCCCGCAACACCTCGAACCCACCCCAGTCATAAAATAATTCTAGAGTACTTATGGGATATAAGGGCCCCTGACAGTTAAGTCCAGTCACAGATGACTCTGGGGTTGCAGTGCTCACCTTGCTTTCACTGGTGCCTCTTGCCCCCCCCAAGTCATTATATGTCTCCCTGCTCTTCCTAAGCCTCTCTGTTTATCTCTCCCCGCACCATATATAGTTTTTGTTCAGATTACCGGTCATATATTATCAGTTTCTTTTCTCTCTGGAGTCCCCCTATGTTATTTGGGTGATCCTGCTACCAAAGGTAAAATAACAGTTCCTCTGGCCCCCACATTATTCTGGGCCATAGGAAAGTGCCTTATACTGTGTCATATCCATCTAGGTCAGTATTGTTTACACAGACCGGCAACAGCTCTCTCCAGGGTTTCAGCCAGGGGACACTCCCAACTTTACTTGGAGATGCTGGCATTTGAGATTTCTGCATGCAAGGCGTGTGCTGTACCGCTGAGCTAGGCCCTTCTGCCTCGTCCTCCAACTGTTCCACACAACAAATGCCATATATCACTTATTGCCCTTTGAGCATAATTCTTTGATAATCCCACCTCACTGACAAGGAGAGCTCTCTTCCCACCAGGACTTTCAGCGATTCTCTTATGAAAGATTCTAAAACCACACAGAGAAAGGCCTGAATCGCAGTGGTAGAGCACTTGCACCCAGAAGGCAGCAACAGAGTGTGTTTTGATAGTGCCTGGGGTCGGTTTGTGTGTGTGCCCACCTGCCCCTGGGGCGGGGTGAGTGTGAAGGACAAATGGAGCCCACTGTGCCTGATCACTGCTTACCCCCCCCCAATGCGCCCAGGGCAATGTGCCCATCAGCTGACTCCCACCATGCTATGCACCTGCAGGAAGGTCCCAGTTTTAGTCCTCAGCATCTCCAGGTAGGATGGTAAATATCTCCAGTGTAAAACCCCTGGGGTGCTACTGCCAGTCACTGTAGACAATATGGAGCGGTGTGGACCAATTTGGAGAGCCTTGGTAGAAGGAAATTTCTCATGTTCCGTAATTTTGGCATACTACTGATGCACTCCAACATTACCTTGGGGGGCAGGGGCGGAATGGGCTTCTATGAACCACTACTAGATCATACAAAGGTGTGTACCTGGAAAGGAACCAATCAACAATCACTAAACCATGAATGCAGAGCTCACGGTCCTCCAGACCTCGTTGGACTCCAGCTCCCATCATCTATGACAACTGGACAGGCTGGCTGGGGATGATGGGAATTGGAGTCCAACAACATCTGAAGGCATCACAGTCTCTGGTCACAATATCCCTGGTTTAGATATTGGACTGTTAAGACAATAAGTGTGTGTGTGTGTGTTCTAAGTGTGGTGTTGTGGCTAGAGTTGGACTTGGGAGACTTGAGGTCAAATAACTCGGCTGTAAAGCTCATCGCATGGCTTGGGGCTCGCTGTTCTTTTTCAGCCTGAATTACCTTATGGTGTAGTTGTGACAATAAAACAGAGAGTCTGTTGACTAACAGGTCGCCTTTGTTTTCTCTGCTGCCCTGTTGGCACTACATAAAGACAAAGACATTCTATTTTTAAAAATGAGGGGGGGGGGAGAGGAAAGATTCAGAGCAGGTTCCCTAGCTGTGATGTGAACCTAAATTGCTTTCAGAGCTGTGGTTTGAACGAGAACAGTCTTTGTCCGCAAACTGAATGCTGGCTCAGCTATCAGCCTCACCTTCCCAACATGGTAAGATTGTCCATTTTAAGCTTATTTTGATAAGGCTACACATCAGGGGTCAGCAAACTTTTTCAACTTTTTCAGCAGCAAACTGTCCCTCAGAACTTGTGGGGGGCCGGACTATATTTTGAAAAAAAAAAATGAACGAATTCCTATGCCCCACAAATAACCCAGAGATGCATTTTAAATAAAAGCACACATTCTACTCATGAAAAACACCAGGCAGGCCCCACAAATAACCCAGAGATGCATTTTAAATCAAAGGACACATGTAAAAACACGCTGATTCCCGGACCGTCCACGGGCTGGATTTAGAAGGTGAGTGGGCCGGATCTGGCCCCCAGGCCTTAATTTGCCTACCCATGCTACACATAGCCTTATAAAGTTTCCCACTTTGAACACCCATCTTTTCCTGGCTCTGGGGATGAGAGCACCTGTGGCAAAAATGCAACGTATTGGTGGGTCCTCTCCCTCTTTTGATGCCTGCCCTGCCCTTCGTTTTAAAGTGTCTTCTAACACCGCACAATACCTTTTTGGATCCCCACCCAAAAGCCCTGGAAGTTGATTTATTCTGAAGCATTGTGAGAGGAGGAAACGGAAAGATGGTTTCTACTACCAAACATGGCACCAGTCTCTTGTACCATACTCTACAATGACGTAGGTTGCATTCACACTATAAAATGCCATTTTAACCGTTACAGAGGATCCTGGGAGCTGTAGTTTGTTAAGAGCGCTGTTCTCACAGAGCTACAGTTCCCAGCACCCTTAACAATCCAAGGATTGTCTGTGAGTATTGTTTGTTCGTTATATAATATCAGTGTGGTTTCCAGCAATTATATAGAAAACCATACAGTTAAAAATATAAAGGAGTTAAAAATAGAAATCAGCCAACTATTATGAGAAAAGGCATTCTTAATTATTAAACAAAGTGGTATAATAGTGTTTTAAATATATGGTGTGCGTGTGACCTTCATATTCAGGATTGTGGGAATGAAACGGGGATGGCAGCCAGAAGCTGCTCACTGGGTTGGGGGGCAGTAAAATAAAAATGGCGCCCAAGGCAGACATTTGGGGTGGGGCCTCACAGAGCACTGGCACCTATTGCAGTATGCAGTGGGTCTGCCCTTTGCCCTATTCAATACAAAAATGCAGGTGTTTAAAAAGCACAAATCTGCTCTTGAGACTGGTGGATTCCCCCACACCTGAATTTGATTCCGGATGAATGGACCAGCCCCACTGTTCTAAAAATGTCCCATCTGTTCCCACTCCCCCCCCCCCCGAATAATTAAGAACAATTAAACTGAGACTCCAAGGCAAACACTCTGGAAACATTAGATTTTCTTTTCTTTTCTTTCTTTTGCAGTGTAATTTATTTACAGAGTATTTTGCCGCCGCCGTCGATGTTATTGTTCAGAATAGTTACTCAGACATGCTGAAGAGGTGGGATTTCCCCAGTCCGCTTGGATAGGAAGTACAGTAGAAAAGGCACACGGTTCTGTTCACCATAAGAGTTGTGCATCAGTCAGCAACTTAAAGCTAACAGATCCTTCTGCCGTGGGACCTTCTTCAGTGAGGCACGAGACTGATCTGTCCTGCAAACCTGACCCAAATATGGCTGCCCTCCTGTTTCCTCCCAGAAAGTGGACGCAAAGTCTGGCTTATGTGGTTCCTCTCCGACTGAGTTCCAAAAAAGCAGAAAGCTTGCACAAGTCTTTCTGGGGCATCCATTGTTATGAGGATAGGCTCAGCTCTCACCAAGGTGGTAAACCTTTGCTAGGACTATGAAGCTTCAGACTCATGTGATTGAAAGTTCCTCCTTAGGAACTTAGAACTTAGTGAACTTAGAAAAGAGCATATCAAAGAGACGAGTTTTTCCCTGACGTGCTGGTTTTCTATATGCAGGGGTTTCTTTTCCTTAATGGAGAGGTGATTGTATCATGTGCGCCTACAAGCCCTAGTCTGAAATGATACGGTCTAGGTACAGGTGTATCGCTTCCGTGGCCTTAAGTGGGAATGCCAGTCTCCATCTTTCCTTTCTTTAAAAAAATAAAAGAACAGCAGTAAACCTTCTCCTTCAATGAGCTGTCTTCTCCTCATCGCAATAGTCCTCTTTAACCTGACTCTCTTGGAGGGGCGCCCACCTACTGGTCAAAGGACTCCAGAAGAGTAAGCATCTTCCCAGCTCTGAATCAATGCCGGCCATGCTTGATCCAGTTTCTGATCATCCATTTCTGCCCCGAGCATCTTTGTACGACTAATCGGAGCCCAAAGTTGGCATCCTTGGACATCTCTACTTCTAGACACCGGCCAGTGTCTCGGCTGATGATTGGGCCGTTCTGTAGGGGTGAAAGAAACGAATACACAATAAGACACAAACCAGAAAATATAATCAATAACAATAAAACAATAACAATAACAATAACAATAACAATAATAATTTATTATTTGTACCCTGCCCATCTGGCTGGGTTTCCCCAGCCACTCTGGGCGGCTTCCAACAGAATATTAAAATACAATAGTCTATTAAACATTAAAAGCTTCTCTAATCAAGAAGGAATGGGACTCTGAATGAATATTTTGAAAGGCAAGGTTCAAGTGTAGAAATCTGGCTGTGTTTAGAATGATCTCGTGAATGGAAAGGTAAATGTAAATACATATATATACATATTAAGATAAGAATAATAATGAAATAGTTAGGCATATTAAGAACAAAAGGAAGTGCTGTGAGATTGGTGGAAGTCAATTATTTATCACCAATTATTTATGTAAAAAAGGTGTTAATGGTTTTTCTAAAGTATTTTTTCTTTAACTATTCTTCTATTTTCTATTTCTTTTCTACTTTCTCTCTTCACTTTCATTATTTTTCTCCTTCCTTCCTTCCTTCCTTCCTTCCTTCCTTCCTTCCTTCCTTCCTTCCTCTTTTCTTTTATTCTTTGCTTTATTTGTTATTGTATTTTTATGTATTATTGTATGTTTATGTATGCTTTGTTTCGATGTAGTTACTTTGCAATAATAAACAAACAAACAAATACTGAAAACTGATATGTGGTGGACTTGGGGAAACAAATCAAGTCATTAGAGAAATGGCAGAGGGTTAGGGAAATAATTCATAATGACTTGAAAAAAATGTTTCAAAGTACTTCTCAAAAACACACACACAAAAACAGAATCCTTTTTGTTGGGGCTAATTCAGACGGAAATTCCCAGGTGTCAAAGAAGGTTATTTATGTATGCCACTACTGCGGCTCGTGTTTTGTTAGCCCCCAAATGGAAAAGAAGCGAAGTCTCAACTAAAGAAGAATGGCAACTTAAGCCGATGGAATATGCGCAGGTTGCGGGCTTAACATATAGAATAAGAGAACAAGAAGAAAATATGTAAACATAATGGAATACTGAATGGTTTAGTTTATATAAAATATGCAGGGATTTATGTTATGCAAAATGAACCATGGAAAGAGAGGAAGGGAAGTCATTAATATTTTAAGGTTGTTTAAATGGACATTCAAAAATGTAAACCAGAAGATTTTATAAAAATTATAGGGGGGAAAAGAGAGAAATGGCAAATGAGAAAAATTAAAGGCATTGGAGGATACAGTCTACCCTTAAATCCATTGAACAACTTGCTGGAATATGTTTAAAAGTCTGCTATTAGATATCTATTTAATTTGCTTTCAAGCCTGTCAATATCAGCTAGGAATCAAAGAGCCCTGATGAATCAGGCTAAAGTCCATCTAGTTCAGCCACATGTTTACACAGTAGCCAACTCAGTTGCCAGATGAGAGGGGGTATAAATAATATATTATTATTATTATTATTATTATTATTATTATTATTATTATTATTAGAAAATAAGACCTGATGCTCCCTCCCAGTTTGTAATTCCCAGCAGTTGTGCAACCATCAAAGCCCAAAGTCTTCACTCACAAGTGAATTTTTTTGACTGAATTCAAAAGAAAGGTTGCCTTTGGCAACAAAACAAAACATAAACTTTTTCAGAACATGGGCGCTGGATTTAGGGTGGTGTGGGCGGTTCTGCTGCACAGGCCACTGAGCTGAGGGGGCGCAAAATTGAGAAGACCCATTTGGCAGCGCCAACTCTTGGCCTCACACAGGATGCCATATTACAAAAGATTGCTGAAATCTGATGAGGGCAAGTGACAAACCTGGGGAAAGGGTGATGGAAGAGACTACTGAGAATCCTGAACACAAACACAAAACACTGTAATATTTTGCGACAGGCCCCGCTTGCTTGCCTGCACAGCTGGCTACGATACCTGTGTAAAATCCCACAGCCTCTGTGCCGGCCTCAAGGTGTCTTCACATTTCTTCAGAGTGGGGGTCCTTCCTTTCCCATCGTCAACGAGACATTTGGAGTCAGGCAGAAATGCAGTAGATCCCAGAGGGCCCAGCTGCAGAAGTCCTTCAGAGCTGTAACGAACAAGCTGGAACCAAATTAAAACAGAGAAGGCTGCAGTCAAGTAAGCCATGAGGCATTTCTGAAAAGGCAAGCCGTGCTAAAGGTCAAGCTTGCCTTGCAATTGAGACTCTTTGCATTAGTATAAAGCTTTCCCTTAACCCCCAGACGTGTGAGTAGACAGAGAGAGTTGTTTTTCTCCCTCTCTCTTTAACGCTTGCTGTCTAGGACATCCTGCAAAACTGACTGTTGGAAGAGTCAGGAAAGGGAAAAGAAAGGAAGCATGTGGTTAAGCTATGGAATTGGTACACACAAAAGGTTTAGGTAAATTCATGGATGATAAGACTCTCGATGGCTAGGTACAAGCCGTGTTGGCTATGCTCTCCCTCTACTTTTAGAGGCTGGGAATGCACTGGGGAAACAGGATTAAACCCTCCACTCAATAGGAGCCAACCGCAAGGGGCCATGGGTGCCTGGGCACCCACAATAATATAATTGTGGGGGCTGGGACCCACAAAGCCCATGAGAAAAGCTGGCAGGTGTCAGTGGCGCTGCCTGCAAGAGAGAAACAGTTCAGCTCTGCCCTCTGCAGCCAGACAGAAAGGCAGCCTTTTCCAGTGTGTGTGTGTGCGCGCTTCAGATGCAGAGGCAGGCACCCACAATCCTGAGAGCGAGATAGCACCCCTGTCCCACTCACCAACTGGATAGCAGAGAGTTCAATCTTGTTGACTGCAGGACTCTCCTTTGTATCCACCAGCAGACGATGGCCTGACCCAAGGTGGGTCACAACAGGAACACTACCAACTTGCACATATATGGTAAAACATTAAGAAATGGGTCCCCCAATCTTGTTATCGTTATTGTTATGGTTCAACTACGAAATTGACTGTGTGAAATTTGGGCTATGATTCCGGCAAAGACCTTTAATGGAATGATAAAAAGAATTTACAATGGGAGCTATGGTGTTGTTGTTTTTTACGGAGACATCAGCTTGCTAGCAGCTGGAATAAGATTACAGGAGGGAACTTTGGTTATCTGCCCAGTGTTAATGGTGAAAGACAACATCCCCCTCGATCTTGGCTGTGACTCACTAAGAGATGTCTTTGTGCAGAAAGTGAAAGTAGATGAGAACGTTGGATTACAACAGGACAATATTTCACACAGAACTACAAAGGATTAACCCGCTTGTTAAATGAACTCAGAGGCTGTTAAAAATAAATGAAGGATCAACATTGGAAATGTTTATCGGGACTACCCAGCGGCGTAGCGTGGGTTATCAGCACCCGGGGCAAGGCAAGTAATTTGCGCCCCCTAACCCGGGGCAAGGCAAGTACAGTAATTTACTCTCCCAAGCAGCAGCAGCGAGGCTTCTCTTTCCCCCGCGCTCTCCTGGAGCTGCCTCTTTTCTTTCCTTTTTTCCCTTTCTCCAAGGCTTTTCACTTTCTCTCCTAAATTGATTCCTCCTCCACACCGCGGCGTTTCCTGGCTGCTCCCCCCCTTCCCCCCTCTCTCCTCCTCGCTCTGCTTGCCTTGCCCTGCCCTGCCTGAGGGCGCCCTGAGGAGACTCCGCTCTCCTTTTTGACCAGGCGAGGTGGAAAAAAGGGGGGAAAGTCTCTTCCCGCCCCCTCGCCAGACTCCCTGCTCGGCTCGGCTCACTACCCAGGCGGCCAGTGGAGAGAGTCTTGAGCCGCTTAATTCCCAGCAAGGAATTAGCAGGCTCGCTCCACCTCCTCCTCCTCCCGACTTTGCTGCTGCTGCTGCTGCTGCGCGGCTTTTTTCCTCTACCGACGGCACGCTGTGCCTTGGAGAGGTTCCCGCTTCCTCGAGGGGGGCCGGCCAAACGCGCCCCCCAAAATGTTGCGCCCGGTGCGGCCGGCACCCCTGGCACCCCCCACGCTACGCCACTGGGACTACCTGAACTAATTAAGGAATGCAGAAACAATATTAGATCAGCACTCCCTGAACTTCAGAGCATGGGAAGTCACCCAAAGATACATAATTCGGCATGATTATTCGGCTGTTTTGTTGTATTATAATTGTTGTTGTTTATTTGTTTAGTCGGGTCCAACTCTTTGTGACCCCATGGACCAGAGCACGCCAGGCACTCCTGTCTTCCACTACCTCCCGCAGTTTGGTCAAACTCATGCTGGTAGCTTCTAGAACACTGTCCAACCATCTCGTCCTCTGTTGTCCCCTTCTCCTTGTGCCCTCCATCTTTCCCAACATCAGGGTCTTTCCCAGGGAGTCTTCCCTTCTCATGAGATAGCCGAAGTATTGGAACCTCAGCTTTAGGATCTGTCCTTCCAGTGAGCACTCAGGGCTGATTTCCTTAAGAATGGATAGGTTTGATCTTCTTGCAGTCCATGGGACTCTCCAGAGTCTCCTCCAGCACCATAATTAAAAATGTATTATAATTAGGAATGATTAAATGTGGTTTTTATTGGATCGTTAAAGTGGAAAAATTAATAAATATCATGAAAAGAAAAGAAAAGAAAAGAAAAGAAAAGAAAAGAGATGGGTCCCCCAAACACATGTTTGGGCTAAAAGTGAATCCTGGGTCTGATAAGGTTGAAGACTACCCTGACTGGCAGTGACGCTCATGTTTCAGACCTCTCTGACCCTTCTGCATGCAGAGCAGATGCTCGACCTCTTCCCCACCCAGGGGCGTCTTACCCATAGAGGCTAGTGGCGCAGGGCACCAGGGCGCCAAGTTCTGGAGGGCACCAGGGAAGAGGTGGAGTCTGGACGCGACACCTAAGGCATGAGCTCACCACCCTCACCCACCTCTGCCATGCCATGCTGAAGCAGCGCCGCACCCGGAGCCTCTGTCTGCCATAGCCACTGTGGCATGAAGCAGCCAGCTGAGCCGGGAGGCGCCACGTCCAGCCTCTGCCCGTCTCCTCCAGCCCTGTCAGCAGTGCCATCCTCCCTAAAAAAACTCTGGGAAACGGGGGAGGGGGGCACTGGAGGGAGCTTTGCACCACGGCACCGGATATGCTTAAGACGGCCCTGTCCTCCCCATCTTTCCGCGATGGCTTTCTGAAATGCTACAGTGGGGGATTCTGCATTCATTTTAACATGGAGCGAAAACAGCCCTGCCTATAAATATGCAGAGGTCCCATAAATGGCATCTGTTACTTTAGGGCTCTTTGAAAAGAAAAGAACGGAAGAAAAGGGGGGAGGGGGAGGGGAGGGAAAGAAAGTTCATGCCTACTGCTGCTTGCAAGCAGTAATGGCTTAACACAACCAGCACATAATATGCTAATCTTTCCTGTAGGAGTAGAATGCCCTTTGGAATTCACTCTTTGTTCTCCTTTTTTAAATGACTAGATTGCATGTCGGAAGCTGTTCTTAATAAAGAAGCCATCTGCGGAGCAAATGCAAGGCACCAGGAGGGACGGAAATTGAATGTGCTGGGGGGATGCAAGGATTTTTTCCCTTAATGTACTGATTGTAGTGGGGTCTTACTTGGGGGTGGGCAGGGTTGTGGTATATCATGAAGGCAGCATTTCTCAAAACCGCCGGAACTTCCCCTAAGAGTGTTTATAAACCCCACCAAGCCTGGAGCTCTGGGTTTTCTAGTTCTGTTTCCAAAGGGCAACTGATGCAATACGCTCCCCATGCTGTTATTTCTCATTCTTGTTAGGAAGATAGGTAGCTGCCTTCTACAGAGTCAAACCAGGGGTCCATGCCGCAAAATATTGTTTACACGCCATCACATCCTCCGGGCAGTGAGAGATTCCAGGGGCTCCAGGAACTTACTCAGGGTTTGGTTTCCTTGGAAACGGAGGTCAGCGGAGACTGTGGTGTCTTTAGCATATGTGGCTTTATTTACACATGTACAGGTGAAACTCGAAAAATTAGAATATTGTGGAAAAGTTCATTTATTTCAGTAATTCAACTTAAGAGGTGAAACTAATATATGAGATAGACTCATGACATGCAAAGCGAGATACGTCAAGCCTTTATTTGTTATAATTGTGATGATCAATTAAACAATCGGAGCATGGGATGGAGGAGCTCACAGCATTAGCATGTCTGCAGAGCTGGATTCTCTGTTAGGTTACCAGAGGAGCCCCAAAGTCCAGTGCAGTACAGTGAAACCTTGGTTCCCGAACATAATCCGTTCCAGGAGTTGGTTTGACTCCTGAAACCGTTCGAAAACCAAGGCACAGCTTCCGATTGGCTGCAGAGCTTCCTGAACTCAAACGAAAGCCGCACTGGACATTCGGGTTCCCAAAAATGTTCACAAACTAGAAAACATACTTTGGGGTTTGCAGCATTCAAGAGCCGATTTGTTCAACAACTAAGCCATTTGAGAACCAAGGTACCACTGTGTAAGCAACTCTCTGCATCTCAGCCACTATTTGGCCTATTGTTCTCCATCACTTAGCTGCAGCTATTGCAACCTAGTCCATTGTTTGAGATAAGGATGAGAGCACTTCAGTGGCCAGCTAAGCTCATTGTCTTATAAAGAAACTTGTCTGACCAGTTCAGCAACCTCCTCTACTGGATTCTAACCCTCACTGGATACAGAATCACAGGCCAGGAATGGATCCAAGGACATCATCCAGACTGACTCCACCTGCCTCCCCAAACCCTTCTTAACACTATTATCTACACAGGCTGACAATAGTTCTCCAGGTTTTGAGGACAGGATTATTTTCCAGCTCTTTTTGGAGATTCCAGTGATTGAGCCCGAGACCTGGTGCATACTCTATCACTGAGCTGTTCCCTCCTCTGTTGTACAGAGCATTCACACTTGCCACTAGTGCTGTGCTAATTTTTGTTTGTTTGTTTTCTCTCTCCCCCCCCCCTTCTAGTCATGAGAAAAGAAATTGGATTTGAAAATTACTGAAAGGGTAGAAAAATTCAGTGAAATTCTTGTGTCTGGGATGCAGGATTTTCTGCTTTTGTTTTTCGTTTAACATGAAAAACCCATTACATCCTTGGCTGGGCTGTCCTATAAGTATGAGAAGTCAGGAAGGCTGTCCAATGTGCTCCTAAGAACTGGTCATTATTATTGTT